TTAAAATTTCATATGGAGGGCTGAGTGGAACATCTATCTATCTTGGCAGACGGTTCAAAAACTCCCTATCCAAAAATTTGTTTGAAGGGCGCCCTATTTCAGAATTTGATTAGAGAACGCCCTATTTCAGGATTCGACTTAAAGACATCCCGTCTCAGCTGCCGCTTCATAAACGCCTTATATCAATGCATTTGCAACATATTTTCAGTTGAGATAGGGCGTTTTTGAACCAAATCCTGAGATAGGGCATTTTTCAATCAAATTCTGAGATAGCAGATTATGCAGCGAAGTTTTGATGTAGGACATTCTTGAGCCATTTTGATCTTCCACTCAGCCGTTGAATAATTTATGAACTTTATTAAGCCTTCGGCATATCCTAAGACAGCACGTCCTTACTTGTTTTTTTTTTGTTTTTTTTTTGTGGTATTGTAAATTTATTGTGCCGTATTTTTAATTTTTTTGTCAAACACAGCCATTTGGTTTTGTGCTTTGACAGTTGCTTATGTCTGAATTGAAATATTTCCCTGCGGGACATGACATTATACGCCCAACCAAACCAGACACGGAATTCAAGCAATAAAGATAGCTAAAAGAAATAAAATTAAAATTAATAAATCGCAAGCAAATTTAGCCTACTCTCTCACCTGCTGCAACCACTGTCCGCTGTATTGGGGTAACGTCCAACTTGCGTGCGATCGGAACACGATGCTACCGGAGATTGACTAGACGAGGTTGGTTCTGCGTAGGTTGTTGCTGTTGATGATGTACCGGTTGATGTTGCTACCGTCGTCAAGGATGGCGTAGGCTGAAATATCACCGTAGTAATAGCCGAGTCATCGTTTGGTGGGGCGTCCACGGCCACACCAACATCACACATATCGGTTACATCCGATAAGCACTCACTAACACAAGGCGTCTGACCACTATGCGCCACCGACGTGCGACACACCATTCCGCTCCGGCAGGACCCGCGTACACTGGTCAGATTGTTGTTCGTGCACATGGTGAATGTGGTGCGGCTGGTGCAAGTGTAGGCGCCATTTGCAATGCCTCGACATTGGCCGCACTGCTTAGTATCGCCACAGGCAGCCTGTATATTGGGATTGCTGGAGGAATCGATGCAAATTCGGCCCAGCGCGGTACACACTTCATTGTCATTGAGGCAGTTGTATGTTACGGTTGTGTCGGGTATGCCTGGCGTGTGGGTGAAATAAATGAGTGAAATGCATGAAATTTTCAATTGGAGGGTTTCTTTTTAGGAACAGATTGGTTAAACGTGCGCTTCAGATTACCGTTAAAACAAAGTTGAAATGTAATGTTGCTGGCGCAGGCGACTCCATTGCCGTTGCAAACACTACACACCGCATGAGACTCATGTTTTGCCAATATTATCACTAAAGCAATTGTGAGCTGAACGCAAAGCTAAGATATAATTATATTACGAATATTATTTCTTCAATGTCTGAGTAAAGTGGATCTAAAAATTCAGGAAGATACTATACCTTCATTTTCCACATTTTTTTTATGCGAGGAATATCGCCTTGGTTGAAGTTAAGATGCTTTACTAAATATGTTTCGCCTGAATCTAAGCATTATAAGGAGTTTAACAAATTTATGAACTGCTCAAATATATCCACATACGCATCGCACATGTTCTTCGAAATAATGCTAACTCAAAGTTTTCCGTCTATCAGAACACATAAAAAAAAAACAAAGTATGCATTTTCAAGCTATGCTATGCATACTAGGAAAGGAGAGTTGGCTGTCATGCTTGCAATAATAACATTGCTCCATTCTTTGCTACTTGTCTTGGTCTTTGAACATTTTTAGAATATAATATCAAAATTTACAAATTTCGAAATATCACACTTTTGAAGACTACGTGCGATATGTATAAAGATAAAATTTCGTAGGTCGAAAAAAAATTAGATAACCACCTTTGATTAGCTCAAAGTATCAACAAGCTACTAACAAGTAAAGCTGTGGGGCAACTTTAATTTAAGGGCGCGTACACCAATACGAATAAAACTAATAAATATCCCACTGGGAAAATAGGTAAGCACCTTACGAGGTAAGCCATGTTTTCTTTCAGTTTTTAGTACCAAAATTGTCATCATTACCAGCGTAATCTACTAGTAAAGTACAAAATGAACAANAGTTGCAAAATAACGTGCAGCCGAAGTTATTTCCAAGCACCGAACTACTCCGAGCGACTGCTCTGCATTACACGTAACTTACTTTGTAAAGCGACTCAGAAGTATGTTTGATAGCAAATGTACATTCTAAATTCCTACTTACATAAGGCGGCCATGCCTTTGTAAAAGTAAGGGACGTTCGGCAGGGAAATGGTAATGACTGCCAGGTGAAGAGTAAGTTGCTAATAAGGTATTATTACGTCCTCCTAATTCCCACTGGGTAAGTGCGAGGCATAAATATATTCATACATCGATCGATATAATAGGCCGAAAATTATGTTGAAAAAATACATAGACAAAATATTAATACATATCTATACTCGGTAGCATTCCTCAGCGAGTCCACGGGCAGGTTCCTAATTCTGTGAGCCGGCGGATGTTATGATTCAAATGATAGTTGACAGGGGCACATAGGAAGTCTTCTCTTCGTTCCTATTGGATCCCAGATGCAAGCCTTTTTGTGTCTCTCTCTGTCTCGTTTAACAAATTTCTTGCCTAAAAACTGTCAGTAGCAGATAAATCCAACGAAACTAATGGCGTTGTAGTTTCTACCAAACAAATTTGCCCTTTCATTGCCCTCTTTGAATAAACTCTAAGGAGAGGGTAATGAAAAGGCAACATTTTTTGTTGAAGTTGAAATGCCATAAGTAAACAAAGTGCCGCATTTCGTACGTCTCCAACTAGATGATACCAGCCTATTTTTTCCAAAGTAGAGCCAAGTTCTTAAGACTTATTCTCGACAGAAATCGCATCACAGCGAAACGCATTAAGAAAGTCCCATCAAAATATTTTTATGTAAAAAGGCAACAGAATATCTTGGGAATTCTCTCCAAAGATGGTAGGATGGATATGTACGACAATTGTCCATTCGATTACATTCCACGGAGTCTTAGTTTAGGGCCTAAACTCTAGAAATCGACTGCAAAGGATACAAACAAGGCGGAATTGTTCTATGCCCACAGATACCTGCATCTATCTCCGTTTAGTACAATTGCTCGAGACGCGGTCATTCTTGAAACAATAAAATATAAAGGACGCCTCATAAATGGAGAGACGCTCAGATCATTCGGTAGTGCCAAGCATGTCAGCGACAATTTCGATACCAATCAGTGCCGACCAATGAATGTCCTCACTCATTTTCATTACTATATTCGAAAATACTGCTACAAACACGACAGATGTTGTATAGCACGCCTGATTATAAGTCTAATGTAATAGACTTTTATACAGATAGCTTCACACTTGAATGGAGAAACGGAGGAGGAGTTGTTTCAAACGAACTGAGGTAGGATACATCTTTTCGACTTCTTCTTCTTTATTGGCGCTATAACCGCCTAAGCGATTTTGGCTGAGCCCGAAACAGCACACCAGTCGTTTCTCTTCTGTGGCACCTGACGCCAATTCGAAATGCCAAATAAACCCAAGTCCTTCTCCACCTGGTCTTTCCAGCGCAGAGGAGGCCTCCTCTCCCTCTGTTACCAGCATCGCGATCCGCGTTGAACACTTCCAGAGTAGGAGCGTTTCTGTCCATTCGAACGATATGACCTAACCAGCGTAGCTGGATTTTAACATCTTTTCCACTACTGCAGAACATATCAAGAGGAAGCTTTGACTGTTCGGGAGGCGCCACTAAGTTTTGCTCAAAAATGTACAGTGAAGAA